TTGATTATATTGGGCTTCTTCCAGCATGGAAAGGGCAGAGATTTATTCTCACTGGAATAAATTTAGTCTACATATGGGTTTACCTATCCTGTACGCAATGCTTCTGCCAAGATTCCCATCCATGGACTCACAGAATGCCTTATCCACCATCATCGTATTCCACACAGCTCTGACCAAGGTACTCACTTTATGGCTAAGAAAGTGTGGCAGTGGGCTCATTCTCATGGAATTCACTGGTCTTACCATGCTTCCCATCAGCCTGAAGCAGCTGGATTGATAGAATGGTGGATTTCATTTTGAAGTTACAATTACAATGCCAACTAGGTGACAATACTTTGTAGGGCTGGGGCAAAGTTTTCCAGAAGGCTGTGTAAGCTCTGAATTGGCATTCAATATATGGTACTCTTTCTCTCATAGCCGGGATTCACAGGTCCAGGAATCAAGGGGTGGAAGTGGAAGTGGCACCACTCACCATCGGCCCTAGTGATCCATTAGCAAAATTTTTGCTTCCTGTTCCCCTGACATTAAGTTCTGCTGGCCTAGAGGTCTTAGTCCCAGAGGAAGAAATGCTGCCACCAGGAGACACAACGATTCCATTAAATCAGAAGTTAAGATTGCCACGTGGATACTTTGGGCTCCTCTTACCTTTACATCAACAGGCTAATAAGGGAGTTACAGTGTTGGCTGGGGTGACTGACTCGGACTACCAAGATGAAATCAGTCTACTGCCCCACAATGGAGGTAAGAAAAAGTATGCATGGAATACAGGAGATCCATTTGGGTGTCTCTTAGTATTACCATGCCCTGTGATTAAGGTCAATGGGAAACTACAACAGCCCAATCCAGGCAGGACTACAAATGGCCCAGACCCTTCAGGAATGAAGTTTGGGTCACTCCACCAGGAAAAAAAACCATGACCTGCTGAAGTGTTTATTGAAGGCAAAGGGAATACAGAATGGGTAGTAAAAGAAGGTAGTCATCAATACTAGCTGCGACCACATGACCAGCTACAGAAACGAGGACTGCAATCGTCATGAATATTTCCTCCTTCTTTTGTTAAAAACATGTTTGCGCATGTATACACTTGTACTCAGAAGATATTCTCATTTTATATCCTTTCTCCTTTATCATGTGACATAAGATTTATTGACTTCACATCAGCATTTAAGTATTGTTAAGTTTACGTAATAGTATTTGGGTTGGGGATTGGTGCGTGTCCAGTTGTACGAAGGATAGTTGTATTATGTTAGACAAATTATGACCTTATTATTGTCTTTATTTGAAGATGATGTATGATCTCAGGAGATGTATATGTGTACCAGTTGACAAGGGGTGGACTTGTGATGGTTAATACTGAGTGTCCACTTGATTGGATTGAAGGAGACAAAGTACTGATCCTGGGTGTGTCTGTGAGGGTGTTGCCAAAGCAGATTAACATTTGAGTCAGTGGGCTGGGGAAGACAGACCCACTCTTAATCAGGTGGGCACAATCTAACCAGCTGCCAGGGCAGCAGGCAGAAAAATGTGAAAAACAGAGATGGGCCTAGCCTCCCAGCCTACATCTTTCTCCACGCTGGATGTTTCCTGCCCTCAAACATCAGACTCCAAGTTCTTCAGTTTTGGAAGTCAGACTGGCTGTCCTTGCTCCTCAGCCTACAGACGGCCTATTGTGGGACCTTGTGATCATATGAGTTAATACTTAATAAACTCCCCTTTATATATGTGTGTGTGTGTGTCTCTGTGTGTGTATGTTATATACACAGAGACACACACATATATATACACATATATATGTATATATATTCCATTAGTTCTGGCCCTCTAGAGAACCCTGACTAATACGATCTGTCACCCAGGCTGGAGTGCAGTGGCACTATCTTGGCTCACTGCAGCCTTGACCTCCTGGGCTCAAGCAATCTGCTTGGAAGTAATCCCCATCTCAGCCTCCCAAGTAGCTGAGTCTATAGGCGTACACCACCACATCCAGCTAATTTTTTGTATGTTTGGTATAGACGGCATTTCACCATGTTGCCCAAGCTGGTCTCGAACTCCTGAGCTCAGGCGATCCACCAGCCTTGGCCTCCCAAAGTGCTGGGATTACAAGTGTGGGCCACCGCACCCAGCCACAAGCTGCATCATTTCTGAGAGTGCTTATAAGACATACAGTACACTTAGGTAATGGCCTCTAGCTCCATCCATGTTGCTGCAGAGGACATGATTTCATTACTTTTTATGGCTACATAGTATTCCATGGTGTATATAACACATTTTATTTATCTATTTTATATATTTATATATAAAATATATAATACTTTGTATATGCATATGTAATACATTATATGTATTTTATATATACATTTTATTTATTTTATATATTTTATACATTTATTTTATATATTTTTATATATACATTTATTTATATATACAATGTATTTTATATATACATTCATACATTTTATATATTTATAAAATGTATATGTAATACTTTGTATATGTATATGTAATACATTTTATATATTTTTAATATATATTTTTAATATATAAAATGTATGTGTAAGTATGTATATATATGTATAAATGTGTGTGTGTGTATATATATATGTGTGTGTGTAGAAAGAGAGATAATACACTTTGCAGAGTCTCTGGAATGGGACAACTATTTAGAAAATGGCAACTTGCATCTCTTCCCTCGCTTCAGACATTCTGCCAATCTGGACCACTCAACCTCAAACAGTAAGGGTGTGAGTCAGAAAAGGGGAGTTGGAGGGACTTAAAGCCCTCAAGTGAAGTTTGCACAAAGGACTTATAAAAGTTAACAGGCAAATGGGCACTATGTGAACCTCTGTCTTGGGGTATTAAATAACTGAGGATTGCCCACATCTTTTTAATGAGTAGTCAAACTTCACAAAAGCTACCCTGACCCAGTGGCCTCAAGAAACAGGACGGCTACACCACCTTGGAGAAATTCTCTGGAGGTAACTTGGGATAGGGAGGCCAGGGCACCCAGGAATCACATACACTATTCACTGAGATTCCTCCAAAGTTATTTTCTAATCTGTTTCAAAGTTGTCCTCAAACACTGTTGTGGACTGAATGTTTACGTCTCCCTAAAATTCATATGTTGAAATCCTAATCCCCAATATGATGGTACTAGGGAGTGGGGCCTTTGGGAGGTGATTTAGTCATGAGGGTGGAGCCCCTATGAATGGATTAGTGCCTTCATAAAAGAGACTCCAGAAAGCTCCTTTGCCTCTTCTGCCATGTGAGGACACAGCAAGATAACAGCCATCTATTAACCAGGAAGTGGGCTCTCACCAGACACCGAATCTGCCAGTGCCTGGATCTTGGACCTCTAGAACAGTGAGACATTTGAGGTCCTTGGTACACAAGGTAACAGTGCCTCTAGAACAGTGAGACATAAATTTCTGTTGTTTATAAAGCCACCTCGTCTATACTATTCTGTTATAGCCGCCTGAAGGGACTAAGTCAAGCACGAACAACTGGAAACCTATTTCTTGCAACATTTTCTTTGAACCCACGTGCTTAGGAACAGAGGGCATCTGATTTTGCAGAACTCCAAATACTAGGTTTTATACTTAGAAAAATAAAAGCCTTTACAGGCTCTACATTTTCCATTTAGCTGTAATTCAACCAATAGATAGCAGCATTAGAGAAAACAGAGGCAGCTGTGCAATCCCTGTGCCCCGCCCCCTGACCCCCGCCCCCCGCCAACCTAAAGAGAGGAAGAAGGGGCTGGCAAAGGAAAGAGGTGTTGGGGTCAAGCAAGGTGCAGCCACCTTTCACTGACTGTCCTATATGCCTGGCTGAACGCTTTACTGTAAGGTGACAATAGGGTGAGTCAGGCATTAACCCTATTTTACATAAGAGGAACCTGAGACTGAATACTGGTATCTTTTTCCTGAAGTCACACAGTAGCAAATGGGGGATTGGCATGCAAAGCCAGGTGTGTCTGTTCCCATCCCACCTCACCCCCTGAATGTCCAAGAGGAGATGTGTTGGGGAGGATGACTAAGGCCATCTCTGCCCTGTCCTTTGCACATGCCCTCATGCCATTCCCTTGTAACTCCTGTAGCTCTCCTTTCTTTGTCAACCAATCTGAGCTCATAACTTTCTTGAGGCCAAGTCTCAGACCATCCCACCCCTGCAACAGGTGTCCTGTACCAAATTTTCCTGGCCACATCACTCTCTAACACATGCTCTTCAACACTAACCAGGTATTTAGGCCCTGGTATGCAAAGTATGGTCTGTGGACCAGCAGCATCGGCACCACCTAGTTAGAAATGCAGACTCTCAGGCCCCACCCAAGACCTACTGAACCTGCACTCCAATAGGCTCTCAAGGTGATTCTTGTGCATGCTAAAGCTTCAGAAGCACTAGGCTAGCTTACCTTGTGTACCAAGGACCTCAAATGTCTCTGGTCATAGTTAGTGAGTCAAGAGACTGGGTTTCCAGAGGTGCCTTCCTATGCAGGCAATGTTGGGCTGCTTGCTCGGGTCCACATTAAGAGGTTAGTGGTTTTAAGGCTTAGTCCCCATTCTCGGGAAAAGGATACTTCTGTCTTTGCCTCCTCTAATTCCCACCCTGTCACAGCTCTGAACAATGAGCCAGCAGGCCCTAATAAGAGAGATATTGGCAAAGTCAAGGGATTGAAATTCCACCACCCTGGGCCCCACAGGCAGGAGAGAGATGTGCTGGAGCAATGCTGTGACCTTGGGGCTATCCAGTGGGAAAGCAATGGAACCATCTTATCAAGAAGCAAGGAAGTAAAGGCATTGAAATTGGACCTGCTTTCCGTCAGGCACACAGAAACATAACTCTCCATTACTTAGGCTGGAGACAGAAGGAGTTGACCAGAGGCCGTGGCATCCCTGGGCTAGATGGGAACCCACTAACTGGAATTGCCTGGTCTCCCGTGCAAACCTTGTCCCCATGCCCTCCCATAGCCCATGATGACTTACTTGTGATTCCTCCTTTCTTACCTAAGAATCCTATGAAATAATACGCGTTATTTGGTTTTCCTCCTAATGCCCCTAAAGACTGTGGCATCTTAAAACATTCCTGGAGAGAAAGAGAATGCAAGATTCTCAACTCACTTGTGGACTGCTGCTCACGGATCTCTGTGCTGAGATGGCGGTGTGATGGGCAGGCAGCAATGGGCTCGGGGAAAGAAGTGACTTACTTTGAATGCATCAACATAGACAGGATTGATTTGGTTTATGCCCAGGCGAAGGGGCACAATGAGCAGCAGGGGCTTCCAGGCTGGGCAGTGGGCAGAGGTGCCCTTACTCTGGTTTGAAGCAGTCAAATAATCGAGAGGCCTGTCACCAGCTGTGTCAGCACTCAAGGGAAGGACACGGCACATTTTTTCTAGAAATGGAAGAACAGAAAATTGGATAAGTAAGGAGTCTTCAGCCCTAGAAGATACTCCAATATCAAAACTAAGGGGAACCTCACATGCCCCCCACCCTGCCTAGAAGGCCCTCTCCTCTGCCACCAGGGTTCAGCTGACTCCCCACCCGCACGAAGCCCAGGCCATTCCTCTAGGGCTCACGCTTTTCATTCCGGCCGCAGGGTACTTGTTTAGCTCCCAACAGGGATTCTGGGCTCATTGTAAGAATCTCATTTCTCAAGTCTGCCAGGGCTTTTGAGACAGGGACTGTATCTTTAGGTTGCTCTGACTCCTCAGTGCAGGAATCACAGGCCTGGACAAGGGTGAGCCTCCATGAAAGATCTGTTGGTGGTTGAATAAATTATATGCACTTTGTGTTTTCTGCAGGGAAGGAGTGTGGTACCTCATTGAGGAGCAGCAAGGCCCCCTAATGGTGTTCTCCCTCTCAGAAAACTGAAAAGAAAGAATCAGAGCCCTGTGCTCCCCTAAGCTCCCCTGCCCTGGTGGGGAAGACCAGAGACACTCTCTTGAGTCCCAGAATTCTGAATGGTGAGGAAGGAACTCATCAGCCATCAGCTGGGAAGTTAAACAGACTGGTAACTCACTGATGTCTTCAATGACCACTGTGTTATCCATTGAAACATAAACAGCCAAGGAATTCCATTCATCAAATAAAGCAAGTTTTCTGCAAAGCAATGTATAAGGAAGTCACAATTTGGGAAGATGGAAATATCAGCAGAAAACAGTACAATTTATGCCCAGTGTTCCTAAAGTCACCAACACTGAGCCACAGAAAAGCTGGTGTTCAGGTTAGCTCGGCTTCTTTGCCAGAGCTCTGGGACGCTCTACATCTAGAGACCTTGAGAATGTCCCTGAGTCACTGTATCTGAACCTCAAAAAGAAGTTTCTGCTTTACAAGCTGGAGAAGTCTACTTCACAAAATGATGGGACACCTACTGGGGAAAAAAGAAAAGTTACCCGTGCATCTGCTCTCAAAGTCCCAAGAGACTTTGTTTTCTTAAATAAAAGACATTCTGACTTACTGAATTTTCATTTTTCAAAAGGGAAACTGTAAAAAAAATTTTTTAAAGGAAGCTGTCCATAAAAAATAGACATTTGTTTGGGATCACAGATAATATGGAGAATATGTTCCAGGTAAACCCAGAGAGAGAGAGACAGTGGGTAGAGGGGACAGAGAGAGAGAGATCACTTCTACCACTCCCCAGCTGCCCTGAGAATACCTCTCAAGTGACATAGGCCGCAGATTGACTTGGGTGCCGAGCTTTACTGGTCAGCAGCTGAAGAGAGCCACCATGCTGAACTGCAGGACTTTATGGTATATTAGAAAGAAAACCCCTTTAAAAGAGAGATGATCTGAGGTCTATGTAAAGTACCCCACCTATTTCTCCCTTTCCTTCTTCTTCCCTTGCCAGTTAAATAAGGCCATGTTTAACCTGGCTATTTCTGGGATGTGTGGGTAAAGCCCAGTCTCATTGGACCAAAGAAAACACAGTCTCTCTACCAGGTAGCTCCCAGGAAGTTAACTACCATCACCCTTGTATTTCATTCATTTTAATGTATTATCTTTCTCCAGAAGAATAACACTAATGTAATAATAATATGCTGTTGTTAATGCTAATGATCATGATGAATTGGAACCCATTTACATTCTTTAAAAAAATCTACGCCAAGCATAGTGGTTCATGCCTGTAATCCCAGCACTTTGGGAGGTCGAGACGGGTGGATCACGAGGTCAGAAGTTCGAGACCAGCCTGGTCAACATGGTGAAACCCCATCTCTACTAAAAATACAAAAATTCGCTGGGCGTGGTAGCAGGCACCTATAATCCCAGCTACTCGGGAGGCTGAGGCAGGAGAATGCTTGACCCTGGGAGGTGGAGGTTGCAGTGAGCCGAGACTGTGCCACTGCACTCCAGCCTGGGCGACAGAGTGAGACTCTGTCTGAAAAAAATAAAATAAAATAAAATCTAGGTTTCCACTTTGTTGTTGGTAACCTTAAAATTTAGAAGAAAGAAGCAAATTCTGAAGGATGTTGTTTTAACACCAACCATTTCAAGCTGGGTTTTGGGCTCAGCACAGCCATTCTAATCTCTTATACTTTCCATACCACGTTCATACAGTGATTCCTGAAACACTGCCAGATTTTCACTCAGCAGAGTCAGCGATGCCCAAAAGGCACTCTGACTATGGCAAGAAAGCAGCCTCAGAGAGGTTACATTGTTAGGAAGGAGTAAAGTCAATACAGATTTTCCTTGGGTCCCCAAAAAATCCAGGCCACTCCCCTCACAGACACATTCCCAAAGCATTCTAGTTCACTGAAGACTAGTTAGTAATAGAAACAGGGTCCCATCTGTACTTTGCATGGAATAGGTCTCCCTATAGTGCCCAGGAGCTTAATGTTCTACACCAAAGGAGGCCAGAAGGTTTCAATCTTCTGATCCCTAAATCTGGCCCCAGATTCTGGCTGCCATTTTCATTTATTCATCGAGCATTTATTGCGTACTTACGCGTGCCAGGCAGTTCTATGTGCTAGTGTTACAGAGTGAACAAGATAAATACAATCTCTGCCCTCATGGAGTTTCCATCAGTGATAGGTTGTTAGGAAGGAGAGTGACAACAGGTAAAGTGGTCTGTAGGTGTAAGTACTAACATCACTCACCCCATTTACTTTCAAAAAGTTGGTCCTGACCTCTCCACCTTGCCTCTTGCTGTGGAAGGTGAATTCTGGTATTTAACAAGACAACTGGAATACCACGGTGGGACACCTTGAGTCTGCTATGAGATGACAAACTGATTCCAAGACTTCCCTGGGGTTTGTCTCCCACAATAGCTGGTGAGTTCCTTGAGGCAAGGACTATGTCAAGTTTATTTCTGCACACCCAGAACTTAGCACAGTAAAGGTACAAAGAAAAAGCTGAATGAACAGGGTTTTTAAATATTATGTAGTGCATGTAGGAGCCCTGTGGGGGTCCATTTCTTGCTTAGGCTGGCTTAGCCTCTACCACTTAGTATGAAACTTTTGGCTTCAAAGGGACCCTCAGGCCAATGGCTCCCAGGCACATGAGCATCAATCTGCAGCATGAGACACTGAATGAGTCCTAGGATACAGCCATATATACTGCTACCAGTGAATATAACTCTGATATACCAAGACAGATATCCATGCTTACACATTTCAAAGAGCCATCTGAGCAAAATGGCACAGATATTTGATGGTTTAGTGGGAAGAGTAGCTTAGAGGGATTGCAAGAATACCTAGGTTGATGGGAGGTTTAGTTGTCTAGGGAGGGAAGCATAGGAGACAGCAGAATAAGGCAGGCGCCAGACTCTTTTACTTACTTTAACACCTGTGCAACTGTATTTGGTCCAAACCATTCTCCAATTGATTTCCCTTCTCCTACACCCATTTGTGCTGTTTTTATGTGGAAAAAATTAACATGTTAGCAAAAGATCTTCCAGTAAGCCACAAACTCCTAATTTTTTACATAAATAATTAAGCAGATGGACAACTTAATGGAGCCACATATAAGGCAAGGGAAGAGAAGGAACAGGAATAGGCACTGCCTTTAAACTATTGATTTATGACCTTACCCATTTGATGGATAGAGTAGCAACAATCTTTTCTATCTAAGAAGCACTGTAGGATGCGTTGGTATTCTTTGGGTTGTTCTTTTTGTTTCTCCCAGCTCCAGTCTTTTTAAGAAAAAAAAAATGTGTTAGAAACATTTTTATAACTGTTTATTACCTCTCTGCACTTTTATTGTAACTACAAAGTTAGAAGGAAAACAAAGGCACCACATCTAGAAGGCAGGAATGATCAAGTTAGAACCTTCCTAAGTATCTTTCATTTTGATAACAAAGACATCTGGAAAGTGATTGCTTTCAAAGACTCAGTGGGTATACAGTAAAAGCAAAACAAGAAGTTGACCAAGGAATTGACTTAACCCAAGGGCTGGATCAATATTATATAAAAACAATGTCACAAAGGCCTTTCTGGCCAGTTACTCAGTGAACAGGAGGTCACCACAAAGCCCGGCAGTACATCGATATATAAGCCAGATGCCATAGCGTCTCATCTCCACATAGACGGCAATGGCTTTTGCTCTTATATTTTGGCAGCATTGACAAAAGGATCTCACGGGTAAGAAGTGCTATTTTGATACACAACAGTTCACAGGGGAATATACACAGCTCACAACTAAGGAAGCTTAAAAAAATTGCATGCTGTCGTTTTTACACCATCTTTTAAAAAGTCCATGCTGAACTTTGGGAAAACAAATAACTGTGCTATCAGGTGTTCAAAGTTTCCCTAAGACCAAAGCCAAAATAACTACATCTGTACGGATACCGTCTGTGCCTTCAGCACAGCCCCCTAAATCCTACAGAGGCCATTTGTAACTTACTGAGGACAACTGCAAAAACTCTCTGTAATCACTGCAATCCTCTCAGCTCTAGAAACACTGGCTAATGGGACAGATTTTTGAGGCTTAGTTTGCTTCCAAGACAAATTTCTCTCCTGAGGTTTTAGAGAGAGTTTGAAATAAAGACTGAACTACACTTGAAGCCAAAGGCCATTATCTCAAGACTCTTCAGTTATTTTTTGCTTCTAGTGTTGCTAAAACCAAAGTTTTTAACTTTGGATCCAGCACAGCCCTCAGAAGTTGGAACCACATCCAACTTCTTTTCATTAGCTACCAAATTGTCCAAGTCTGAGGAAATCCTAATTAGCTGGCTGCTAAATACCACTAAATATTTGCTGACGACAATGGTAAGTGAATACTCTACCTTAATTTTAAAATAGCTGAATAGGAAACAATCCAAAAGACATCTTTACAAAATTACTCTTTTAACTCATTTTAGCTACAAGATCTATTTCCAACTTCTTCCTGCTACTTGCTTTTGTATTAAAACAATTGAGACTGCTGACTGTGGAGGTTTTTTTCCCCCAGTTTGCTCCCTACTTCCAGAACTCGCTTCCAAAATAATCATTTTGAAGTGTGTTATAATGAAAAAAAAAATTAAATTGTGAGAATGGATCTATACCAAGAAGCATGTATAAACAAGGGAAATCACTGGACAAGGAGTTGGAATATCTTTATTTTATCCCCAAATCTTTGATTTCTTGCTGTTTTACCCTGGGTAAATCACATCACTTCCCTGAGCCTTGGTTTCCTCACCTGTAAAATGGAAATTATTATACTACCCAGGGCAAGCAGGATATCCCAAACCCTGAAGAGAAGGCAATAAGCCCTGAAACCTCCCTGGGCCCTTCTCCAATCCTCTCTGAAAGCTGTAGCAAAATCTGTGAGTTTGCACAGTGGGAAAAGGAAAATGATGTTTCTATACTTCTGAACCTCAATTAGCAACAGCCAATGAGTTCAGCAGCCCAATTTCATCCAAAGTGTCCTTTCACTGTCTCATCCCCAAGTCTAACTGGACCTTCACCTAAGTGCCTGAACTGGCATGCAGCCAACCCCATCCTTCAGATGCCCATAGGGAAGCATGTACATGTTTTAAGAAAGCAAGACTCAAGAGTTCCAACAACCAGCCGGGCGCAGTGGCTCATGCCTATAATCCTAGCACTTTGGGAGGCCAAGGTGGGTGGATCATCTGAGGTCAGGAGTTCGAGATCAGCCTGGCCAACATGGCAAAACCCCATCTCTACTAAAAATACAAAAATCAGCCAGGCGTCCAGGCGCGGTGGCAGGCACCTATAATCCCAGCTACTCAGGAGGCTGAGGCGGAGAATCGCTTGAACCCAGGGGTCACAGGTTGCAGTGAGCCAAGATCGCACCACTACACTCCAGCCTGGGAGACAAAGCGAAACTCTGACTCAAAAAAAAAAAAAAAAAAAAAAAAAAATGAGTTCCAACAACCATTATCAGAAGGCTCTTAATTGAATGTTCTCCCAAGGAAGCAAATTTAAAGATTCCTTCATCATCAGCTGGACATCCTTAGTGAACCAAAACCAAAATAGTACCAGCTCCCTCTATGTACTTCCTTTAGGTCACTTACATCCTTCACCAGGCAGATATCTTAAATGAGGTCAAGAAACAGACTTACCACCACACCCTTTTTCCTGCTGCCTTTGTTATCTTGCATTTCTAAGGACTTACTCAAACAATAGCAAAGATGGAAAGGATAAATGACACACCTCCCTCAATGTTCAGTTCTGTCCTAGGAAAATAACTCCCTGGCTTGGTGACTCACAAGGAAACACTAGCTGTTTCCTTCTTATGAGGGGCTTTGTTGACTTGTCAGCCCCACCACTTGAGCTTGCAGAGAGCACTTTAAGACCTACAAGTTTATTACTGAATGTTCCCAAGGCTCAGCATCAAGCTAAATCAATAGGAGCAAGTGACACTGCAGAGGTCTCTGAGAAAGTTTATAAAACAAATTTAACTCACCCCTTCCCAAGTGTCTACAGATAAGGGCTTGAGCCAGCATCATCTGTCCACAGCGTAGCATACATCCCCAACCAGCATCTGATGAAGGGCCCGTTCCCCCTGTTGGCAAAATGGAAGGGAATGAATGTGGGTTCCTCAAATTGCCCTTTCCTGAAACATCAGCATATTTGGGACTCACACAAGACAGGCAAATATATATACTCTGAGAAGCGAGGTGACAGATATACCCACAGATCAAACAAGATTTGGGTATACAGTTGGAACTTGCAAACATAGTACTGAGTCAACCAAAACAAGTTCTACAGCCAAACATAAAACAAGCAAATGAACTAAATGTGTCCCTTATGTTTTCTGCTTGAAGACTTCTAGGTATACATGCAATTTTGGTAGGTGACTGCCATGTATGAATACCAACCCTTAGTCCATTCCATGTCATCATCTGCCAGACCCAAACCTTGCCTTGCATAGCTCACGTGCATGGCCCTGAAATTCTCAGGGAAGCCAGTCTTACTTAGGTAAAGAACAAATACTACCAAAGGCAATCATCAAAATGGTCAAAGAGATTTGGAAGGCTCATGACTATTCTGAATATATATTATGAAGATCTGAACAGCAAGAAGGACATTGTAAAATAGGGGAAAGATCCCTAAATGAGGCATCAGAAGACCAGTCTCTAGTTATCTAATCTAAATCTCATCTATAGGCTGAGCATAATAGTACATACTCTGCCTACTATCAGTGGGTATTGTAAGAACTGAGAGAATATCTGTGAAAGTGTTCTAGAACCCACAGAGGATGACACAAATACTTGATGTTTTGAGTATGATCATAATTTAAACCCATATTAATGAATTAGAAATGTATCTTTAAAAGGTATAAAATTAGTTAATAAATGAAATAAGACAACAGGTTCTATTTTAAGAACACCTTATGCAAAGAAAATCCCACATATGAGGCCAGGGTGAGCTCAATATTCTTTTCCAAGGGGCCAATGAAATCAGATAACTTGAATGGCAGACAGGGTATGTTGTTTTCATTGTTTTCTTTTCCCAGTGTGGAAATGGAAAAATATGCTATAAGCACGATCTCAGAAGACTAACTTCAAAGGGGGTCATCAATCTTGTAAGACAAGTGGGTCAAGGTGGTCACCCCTTTCTTTTAGTTGTGGGGACTGAAGGAAAGTTACAACAACAAGATGGGAAGGAGGGAATCAATTTATGACCTGGAAGGGGTGCCTTTTGATTGTTGCTAATGCGGGGATTATTGGCCAGATTAGTAGGGAAAAGATGCAATGAGGCCCACATAAAGAAGAGATCATCTATTGCCAAAATATTGGCAGAGTAAAATTAGAAATATTTTCCAGCCTTGCAAAGAGCTCCACAGCCAGAGAAAGTTAACAGTTCAGAACCACTGGTTACTAAACATTGTTCTTTTGTTTGTTACTGACTGGTGTATTTCTGGGGAGAGAAAAAAAAAAAAAAAAGGAAAAGCCTGTGCGACCTTCATTTTTGGCACTGAACAGAAAGATTGATTTCATTCTAGTGTCCTCTTAGAAGAGTAAATTTCACTATTTGTAGGCCCTTTTCCTACAGGGCCATGATACTAGGAAGTAGCCACCCTACCTGCAAATGTGTTGTATATCCTTTATGAAAACAGCACATTCACTTCACCTATTGAATTGTCCTTTTTTCTAGTTGACAGCTGGTAACAGCCTAGAATTAGTTCCAAGGAAACTACTGTAATTTGTCTCTCAATGGCAAGGTGCTTTCATGTCATAAGGGGGGAAAAACCCAAATAAATTATTTTCTTTCTTTCAAGACACAATTTTCATTAATAATCAAGTAGTTCCACAATGCAGTGGATTGTAATTTAATAGATATTATACAAATTAAAGGCTTACGTGATTTTTCCCCTTAATCTCAAAAGTATAACAAGTAGTATCATCTGGTGCCTGAACACTTGGAGGTGGGGTCAAAAGTATACAGTCATAACCCCTCAATGCCATAGAGCCATATGTGAAAGGATACTTTAGCAATGAAACTTTTGGATGAAGTGTAAGATTTACCTAGTCCCCTAAATCAAATTCTTTGCTATAGTGAGCAATTAATTCTGAGGTTTCTATGAAGTCACTGATAACCTCAGGCAAGCTATCCACAAAGAACAAAGCACAGTAAAACAAATGATATACCTACCAATTGGTGAAAATTTCCTTCTGTATGTAAACCATAGACGAGCACTTATATCAGACAACAGCTTAGATTTTTCTGTAATTAAATGTAAAATTAAAATTAAATCACGATATCTAAAAATACCCACCTTTACTTCTGAGCCAGCTGCTAACTTAATTTCAAATAACCAGTCAATTCAATTATTATGGGGCTAGGTAAATTCACAGGAAACCCATTCTCATTTTAGCCAAATAATTTCAGTATTTCTCCCAACCTATGGTTTGACCAGAGCTACTTGACTGGTGTAATGACATTGGGTAGCTCCTGTCATCTTTTCACTGAATTCTACAGTCCTGACAGTTACAAACACTGAGATCATTGCCAAAAGACAAGGAATAAGAAAATTAAGGATCCTAGAAAACCCACTAACAAGACTATCAGCCCCAGCCTGAATGATGGTTGGCTGGATCTTGTATCAGCACCCATCATCCCTTATCTAAAACTAGAGGTTTGGCTGGGCCCAGCGACTCACACCTCTAATCCCAGTGCTTTGGGAGGCTGAGACAGGGAGATTGCTTGAGGGCCAGGAATTCAAAACCAGCCTGGACAACATAGTGAGACCCCATCTCTACAAAAAAAAAATGAGGTATGAGGATCACTTGAGTCCAGGAGTTCGAGGCTGCAGTGAGCTATGATCACCACTGTACTCTAGCCTGAGTAACAGAGAGACCTTGTCTCAAGCAAAACAAAATAAAACAAAACAAAAACTATTGGTTGGCTTGTTTGTGTGTGTGCATGTGTGTCTGTGCATGCACACATGCATCTTTAAATAAAAAGGAAATGCCCTACTAAGCAAATTAGGTGTGTAAGAAATGTATCTATAGCACCTAGTGCAACCAGCACTTATAATCTAAATGCATATATAATATCACAAATGTTTTTGTGTCTTTTTTCAAAGCATGCTTTCTCGTATTTTATGACATAAATTTACTTTGATGGGCCACAAATATGGCTTCCACATTTTTATATGTACTTAGATGTGACTGTCTTTCTTAGTCACCTCTCTCCGTCTTCTCAACAACATGTCTATATTATATTCTGTATAGAATTTATAGTCACTGCACTTAAAAAGAACAAAGGGAAATCTACTTTGGGCCAATAGTTTCTATTTTCTGTCTTCCTTTTCTTTGGAGCAAGTCGGAAAGTTGGGCTATCTATATTTTCCCTCCCTTCCATGCCCCAGTGCCTAGCACATTCAGGGAAGCAGATGTACAATGGTTAATAGTAAGACACCTGAAGTCATACTTTGATTGGGTTTGAACCCTGACTCTGCTACTTACCAGCCGTGTAAGCTGGTTAACTTAACCTCTCCGGGCTTCAGTTTCCTCATCCATAAATGGGGAGAATTATAGTACCTACTTCATTGAGTTGTGAGTATTCAAAAGATAATACACGTAAAGTGCTTACATGGTGAATAGTACGCAGTGAACCTATGATAAATGTTAGCTGTTATATACCCGTCCTCTTAAATGTCCACACCCTCACTCCTGCCTCTGACAGTCTTTATGCCTTCCTGTGTGGCTTTATGCGGGGGAAGTTGTATGGACATTTTAACAATGATTTCACTTTGAAAGGCACTTCCCAATTTAACATTTGAATATGAGTGGATTTGGCAACCTGGGGATTCCTGTTGTCATGGAATGCAGAATTAGAAGATTCCCTCCAATCCCCTCATTTTAAGTACCACTGAAGGAAGTTAAGATCCAGAAAGAGAAAGTGACTTACCTGAGTTAGAAGAGTCTAAATAAAAAAGGTCTCCTAATCACTAGCTCCAGGCTTTCCACTGTTCACAATTCTCCAATCAAAATAATGAAGCCAGGCTCATGAGGAGCTGACAATGCCTAACTTCCTCTCCTGCCTTTTCATCAGCCTCTTCCTGTTCCTTCCTCCAAGCTAAGTGAGGGCCTCTGAAGAGGATGTCTCCTCAGAAAGATACAAATCTCAGAGCTGCCTCTTTCCAAGCTCTGGCTTTATCTGGGTGCTGGGTTGTTAGCAGTTTCAGGTTAAAAGGTCTTTCTTTACCAATCTATAAGAATGTAATGGTAAGGAAGAAAAATTAAAGCCTCCTTTCCATCTAGCTGTAGTGGCTAGAAGTTCTATACAAAATCAGAATAAACTGAGACAGTGCTATGGTCAGCAAAAGATCTAAAACATAAGAAAAACTTACTAGGTCTGATATTGTTTCTGAGATCCATGGGTTATCTAGAAGTCCCTGAGTGTTTTTATCCAACCAGAGAAGTATGTGAGAGTAATAAATATGTAGCCCAATCACGAAAGGCTAGAGACTGGTTAGTGATACCAGGAGTGGGTCCGTGTTTTTTGAAACCCAAGGCTTCTAGAATTTGGGGATTCTCCTTTAAGGAACAGAATAAAAATATATTACCTGTGCAAATTGTGCAAAAACCTATAACCATGTAAACACACTACTAGGGCCTTTCGGGGCCTTGGAAGGGGCCTGTCCAAGCAAAAGTTCTGAGACTTAAGCTCCGTTGACTACAAGGTAAATCCACCTCAGAGTAGCATTAACATTAAGCAAGAAAATGCTCTGCCAACTGTTAGGCAGGAATCTAGACTCAACAAGGCGGCGTTACCTGGTGTAGCAGGCCTTTCGTTAAAGACTCCCTTCACCCTTGTACACACCCGCAGACTTACATGCGTCAGAGCTCTGGCTGGGCAACCACACTCCCCCATGACCTGCAGCTCACCTGCATTCCACAAGTTCGTAAACAGCAGTTTCGGTTGACAGTTTCCAAAGACCCCTTCCTCATGACCTTTACTCAACTCCTGCCCTCGTAGTTTCAAGACCCCCCAGGCCCTGTTTGCACAACCAGCTTCCCTACCTCTCGGGCTATAAAAAGCCCCTACCCTCCTCCCTCAGCACGACTTCCTCGGCCCACACCTTTGGACCGAGGAACCTTGCCCACGAGTCCTAATAAAGGCTATTCTCACTGCCATTTGCCTTGTGTCTTTGTTCCCGGTTCAGCTCCAGCCTCAGTTTACCTTTACACTAACCCAAGAAGAAAAAGTACAAACCCTGAACCACAGGTGCCTACCTCATCTGGGTTCTTACAGATAAATGCTACCAAATCTTACCTGTTTTAAGGAGATGCTGCTTCCCTAAGATCCATACCAGCTCATCTGTATCTGGATATTCTTCTAGGTAGTCAGTGAAAATAGTAATCTGGTTTTCATACTTGGATAAAACTGAAAGAAAATGAAAGAAACTTAAGTAAAATTTAATAGAAGGGGCTTACCTCTGTGGCTGACTGATCATTACCTTTGCTCTGAAGGTGAAAGGTCAGCAGCTTGAATCTAATGAAAGCAATTCCTTTTCCTTGAGGAACAAAGACACTCACAAGACCTCTAAATCCTTTAGCTGAAGGATTTCCTCTTGACCATCCCTTTTGACCTTCCCTTTCTCAAAGTTCCATTTAACACCATCTCTAAAAAATCATTTGGCCACAGTTACTTCAAAATATTTTATAGCATAGGGCCTTCTTTGTAAATAGCCCATTATCGAGCTTCCCCTACTCTGAGTGTATTGAGGTGATACAATACATGCACACCTAACTCCTGCCCATGTCACAGGGAATATCATGAGGTTTGTATTGCGAGGTTTCCAGTGGCCAGTGGCTTGGAAGGTGCTGTGACAAGCCTGAATGTTTGTACAACTGTGTATATGGTAATATTTTAGCTGGAAGATCAGATGTTTTCATAATATTTTTATTTGCCATTTTATTCACATATGGCTTCTGCAAAGAAGGATCTTGAAGTTAACAGTAAATATAATTTGTTCTTGGTATTCACAGATGACTATTAAGAAATACATATTTCTATTAAGAAATATATATTTAGTTTCTATCCCTGTTTTCTGGCACAGAGCTCCTAAAACCTTTGTTATGGTGAGTGATAGGGATACTATGTGCATCTTTTGTTCTGAAATTTGGCCTTTCTGCCTGGTTCCTGACATAGAGCTCCTAGTGAATTTCCTGGGTGATAAGAACATCTTCTGTTCTAATGAAGTATCTCTTGGTGGGCTTCTGGATGGAGGCTGGTTACCAGAAAGACTAAGCCATGATTAGAATCTTGGAACTTTCAGTCCCAACCCCCATCCTTTGGGAAGGGTGGAGACTGAGTCAAAAATTGACTTCATAAAAATCCCTGGACTGTGGGATTTGGTGAACTTCTGGGTTGCTTAATATGTGGAAGTGTCTGGGGGGTGGTATGCCTAAAGAGGGCATGGTTGCTCTGTGTCCCTTTCCACATGCCTTGCCCTATGTATCTCCTCCATCTGGCTGTCCATCTATACCCTTTGTGATATTCTTTATAATAAATGGGTAAACATAATAAAATGTTTCCCTGAGTTCAGTGAGTCATCCTAGATTATGGAACACGAGGAGGGGGTCATGGGAACCCCAATTTATAGCTGGTCAGTTAGAAGCACATATAGCTGGGACTTATGACTGGCATCTGAAGTGGGGCAGTCTTGTGGAACTGAGCTGTCAGCCTATGGAATCTTATTCTAACTCCAGACAGATAGTGTCAGAATTGAATTAAATTATAGGGTACACTATTGGTATCTTGTGGAGAATTGCATGGTATATGGTATCACAAGAATTGAGTGGTGAGTGTCAGAGTAGAAAACAGTTTGATTTTCCTATCTCACACAACTATGGTTATCTCTGAAGATAAAGTATCCCCCAAAATACAACTAAACCTCACTAGTTCACAAGCCATACTTTTCGAACTTATGACCATGCAATATGGGAGGAGTTAAAATTCAAATTCACTTTTGTACCAAAAGAGATGGGGTTTCACTGTATTAGCCAGGGTGGTCTTGAACTGCTGGCCTCAAGCAATCCTCCCACCTCAGCCTTTCAAAGTGTTAGAATTACAGGCGTGAGCCACCACGCCTGGCCTCTCTCAGAATATTAGTTACAAAGAACTTTTGAGATAGGACCCCTTCATAAGTCAATCTTGAGTCTTTTAGCAGACCTTTTCCTCAAATTCACTTTTGTTCTGAAATTTGGCCTTTCTCCCTGGTTCCTGACATAGAGCTCCTAATGAATTTCCTGGGTGATAAGAGCATCTTCTGTTCTAATGAAGTATCTCTTAGTGGGCTTCTGGATGGAGGCTGGTTACCAGAAGGACTAAGCCATGATTAGAAGCTTGGAACTTTCAGTGCCAACCCCCATCTCCTTAAAAAAATAAATAATAATAATTTTTTGAGAGATATTATATTGTAAATAGTAAATATATTTCCAAGCCAGCTCACAAAACCTATTTTAATCTGTAACTAGAAAATTTAAATTGATAGTTTATTTCATAGTTTATAGTGCTATATCTATGAGAAAATATATTTCAAGTTCAAAGCTAAGATACTCAACACACACCTCTTAACTCATGGGGGCTCATCAGCCCCTATGAGGAGGGGAGCACAGAGAAAGTAGGGGACCATTTGTACAACTACAGGTAGCTGCAGAGATTCTCTAAAAGAAATCCCTTGAAAGGATAAATTGTTTTATTTTATTTTGTTTTTGTTTTCTAAGGCAAGGGCATGTTGTTTCCATAGAAATAAATGCTCCTAAATATAAATGAGTCTGTTCTGATAAAAAAAAATGAGTCTATTTTGATCATATAAATATTTTGTTGGAAGTTGAAATTATAATTTGTACAAGCACTTTTAGAAACACAGCTGAGATCGAGACCAGCCTGGCCAACATGGTGAAACCCCATCTCTACTAAAAATTCAAAAATTAACTGGGCATGGTGGTGCGTGCCTGTAGTCCCAGCTACTCGGGAGGCTAAAGCAGGAGAATTGCTTGAACCCGGGAGGCCGAGGTTGCAGTGAACCGATATTGCGTCACTGCACTCCAGCCTGGTGACACAGAAGATTCCGTCTCAAAAAAAAAACAAACAAACAAACAAAAAACTGTTAACCAGGGATATTACCTTTCTTAAAATATCTTACGGAATTCCAATCATTCAGGGATTTAAGTAGCCTTTCTCCTCAATATATTTTAATTACTAAGATGATAGTCTCTGCAGTGTTTCAAATTTAAAGAAGTTAGAAACAGCCATTTTGTTCCCCAGTGAAAATTCATCACTACCAAATCTGACAGGAAGCCTGTGCCATCTTAGCCTCTCTGCTGCTGGCCTCAGCCCCTGGCCCATGCCCAGGAAATACCAGGCTAAAAATGATTATCCAGGTCAGGCCATCCCCAGGAGGTGGTGGACTGAGGCAGGGCAAATCACACTGTGTACCACCCCACTCTACCCTCTAACCCTCACAGGCAGAAGAACTCCATTTTAAATGAACATCTAGTGTAGCCTAAAAAGAGAGAGAAAATCAGAAAATAAGTAACTTGAGTAGACTGTAGGAAAAGGGTAACCTCTCTGGCATTGCCTTCGTAGGGGTGAGGATGGGTGGCATTGGATGAATGTACAGCATGTATGCATATAAGCCTTGGGTCTTTTTATAGTACTGGCCAAAGAAATACCATTTCTCTATCGCCAACCCTGTCTCAGTGAGTCACTGGCCAGTTATCTGGTCAAATTAGTAAAGCCCTTTGAAGCCTGTGACAACTGCCCTGCTTCATTTGGGATGGCTCTGATCAAAATGGCAGCCAAAGAATTTGACTCTTGCACTTCACCCCCTCTCAGGCCTAGCTAGGCCAGCAAGAAGTTCATTATAGTCTCTATTCTTCTTGATTCTTCTCTTAAAAGATAGACACTCTGAATGCAGTATGTGAGTCCATGGCCATCCCTGAATCAAGGCTACATGTATGGAACAAATGAAAGAACAGAAAATGAAATTAACAGAAACAAGCAGCAGTGACATGGGAAGATTATGTACATGGGGGTCTAGGGAGGAAAGAGGAACAGGTCTTACATAGGGAGAACTCAGATGAAAAAGCAATCTGGGAAGTGGATGAGGTGCAGAAGTAAAATATCATTTCCAGTACAATTGCCTCTGATTAACAGCAATATGTTTTATTTCAAATTTTTCACAAACTACCTTTGTCTTGCCTTTAAAAGTAAACAAACCATATATCAGGCTGATATGAGTTCCCTGCCTTCCCAGTCTGTTTAAAGAGATAGGGACTATGAGAGGTGAGGGCATGCTGGCGGCCCTCGCTTGCTCTTGGCATCTCCTCGGCCTCAGCATCCACTCTGGCCACGCTTGAGGAGCCCTTTGGCCCACTGTTGCACTGTGGGAGCCCCTCTCTGGGCTGGCCGAGGCTGGAGCCAGCTCCCTCTGCTTGCAAGGAGGTGTGGGGGAGAGGCACGGGTGGGAACCGAGGCCGTGCCAGGCACTTGCAGGCCAACGCCAGTTCCGGGTGGGCATGGGCTCAGTGGGCCTCACACTTGGAGTGGCCAGTCAGTGCTGCCGGCCCCGGGCAGTGACTGGCTTGGTGCCCTGGCTGGCAGCTGCTGGGGCGGTGTGCCAGGTCCCCCAGCAGCGCAGGCCTGCTGGCTATGCTCGAATTCTTGCTGGGCCTCAGCTGCCTCCCTGCGGGGCAGGGCTCAGCACCTGCAGCCAGCCATGCCTGAGCCTCCCCACCATTGTGGGCTCCTATGTGGCCTAAGCCTCCCTGATCAGTGATGTCCCCTGCTCTGCAGCGACCAGTCCCATTGACCGCCCAGAGGGGCTGAGAAGTGCGGGTACATGGCGTGGGACTGGCGAGCAGCTCCGCCTGCGGCCCTGGTGTGGAGTCCACTAGGTGAAGCCAGCTGGGCTCCTGGGTCTGGTGGGGACTTGGAGAGCCTTTGTGTCTGACTGCGGGATTGCAGATGCACCGATCAGCGCTCTGTGTCTAGCTCGGGGTTTGTGAACTCACCAATCGGCACTCTGTGTCTGGCTTAAGGTTTATAGACACACCGGTGGGTGCTCTGTGTCTAGTTAATCTGGTGAGGACTTGGAGAACTTTTGTGTCTGGCTGGAGGACTGTGAATGCACCAGTCGTCTCTGTGTCTAGCTCAGGGATTGTGAAGGCGCCAATTGGCACCCTGTCAAAACGGACCAATCAGCTCTCTGTAAAATGGACTAATCAGCAGGATGTGGGTGGGGCCAGATAAGGGAATAAAAGCAGGCTGCCCAAGCCAGCAGCAGCAACCCGCTCGGGTCCCCTTCCACATTGTGGAAGCTTTGTTCTTTTGCTCTTTGCAATAAATCTTGCTCCTGCTCACTCTTTGGGTCCACG